GGGGGGCGGTCACAGCTGCTTCCGAGGAGTTTCGTTTCCCGGCTGTTCGCTGTGGAACAGGAAGGTGAAGCTTAGGGAGACGCTCAGCCCTGAAATGTGGATTGCAGCTCAGTCAGGCCAGACTTAGGTTTCCGCGTGGCGGTAGGTGGGTGTGAGTGTGAGTTTTATAGTTTTTTAGGTTTCTTAAAGAGAATTCCTGGGCTTAAATTCGGTAAAACGATTTGTCTGTGGGGAGCCCGCGGCAGCCTTTATAAGCCAGTCAAGTCTGCAAATTCAGTGTAAGAAGCGGCTACAGAAGGAGCTCGTTTTCTGATGGTGGTTGAAGGTTCTGTATTCACAAACCTTTAATTAGGTACGAGGTGCTAACGTTTCACTGGAGAAAGGCACATTTGATAGCATCGCACTGTGCTGCGTAGTAGTGTAGGCAGGAGAAATCTGAAGTTACTGCTTGTCTTGCCACAGTGGGTGTGTTCAGGCTCCTCTCCTGCTAACCTGTTTCAGTTCTATTTGGGTTTTTTTTGTGCTTGCCCTAACGCATCTCTTCATATTACCCTCACTTGCAACTAGCATGGTGTAGGCCAGCTGCTGACCTTTTTAAAGGAGTGTTTTACTTCATCAGAAAGCAAGGAGGCTGAGTCTGCAACACTAAGATGTTTTTAAATAATCCAAGCCAGCAGTACATTTAAAACTTGTTTTGCTAGGTGTCATGTCTAATTTGGAAGGCAATTGTTTGCTTTCCTTCGTAACTGTTGAGTGAGCTGTCATTGCAAATGAAGCTGTACCTACCAAGCAGCTACAGCTACTTAAGACATACTTGGAGAGAAATATGGGGCAAATAATTTTGTATTGTATTTTTCCTCACTCTTTCTTTACTAGATAGCTAATTTTTAATGGATTAAAACCCACGCTGTAGTAATATAATAGTATGCAATATGCATTTCTAACTACAGGTATGTGTGTAGTTACTAAGGTACAGCCAACCATGTTTCATCTTTTTTTGTTTCCTGTTTTGCAGTTCTGATACCAAGTTTTCAATAACGTTGAACAGAAAAGATGCTCTCACAGAGGATCATAAGACCTTGGCTTCATATGGGATTGTTTCTGGTGATTTGATATGCTTATTACTAGAAGAAGCAAATGGACAACCCAGCCTACCTCCTTCTCCTCCTCCCCCACTTCAGAATGGTCATGAGCCGTCCACCTTGATCCCCAGTAAAAGTCAGGCCAGCAGTCCAAAAGATGAAGGGCAGAATGAGCAATCTGACAACCAGGAAGCTCAAGTGGAAGTTCAGAAGCATGACGAGAGGGTAAGTATGTGAGAATTGCCCTGTACAGCACAAGGCAAAAAAGCAGGTATCTTACTATGCCTGTTGCTGTACTGTACAGTAGAGAATCTTTTCAAAAGAGTATTTGGAATTTCATTATTGTGTAGTATATAGCCAGTTACTTGGATGGAAATTTGTCTCTATTCATTGTGTATTAGCTGTGACACAGACACTAGTTCAGACACATGTTTCAGGTCTGACATTTCTACAGGAATTAATGTTTTTGCTGAAACATGCACTTGGATAGTACATGTTCCATCATGTTTCTTACCTGCCTCAGCCCTGTGTTCTTGAGGAAACTGAATCTAGGTACTGAACAGATGTGACTGGCAATGCCTGTCAGAAACACCGCTCACAAGACAAGAGCATGATCCCTTTCTAAGTGGCTGTAACAGTGACCCATGAATCAGACAACCTGCTGAAGAGTGAGACCTGTCTTGTGTTTGAAGATTGTGCTGCTGAGGTAGCTCCTGCCTCATGCTTCATAAGTGTTCATCTGTAGGACCCTGGAAGCTTCATGCAGCTAGTAGGCACATTTTTTCCTTTTACTCAGTGGTTTGTTTCCGTTGTGACAGTACACGGAATAGTTAAATAGGTAACAGCTTCCACTTACTGCTGGGTCCTGTGGTGAGTGGACTCTTTAACTAGAGGAGACTCTGTAGATACAGCCTAGTGCCATATTTCATCTCGTTATACAGCCCTCTCTGTTTTAGCCAGGAGCCAGAAAAGTTGGGATGAAATTGCATTCCAACATTCTTTCAGAGCAAGCAGATTGTTTTTTTTGTTTTGTTGTAGTTTTGGAAAGAATTTAAAGTGCTAAATGTCCCTTAATGCAGCTTTTATATGAGATCTTTTCAAATACTGTTTTAACATAAGAAAATTAAGATTTAGGATAAAAAGAGTTGTAAGTAATGAAAGAAAATGTAGTTGGACCATTGTCCCATTGATGCTTGTCAGGAACCATAAGTATGATGCTGTGGCTGTACAAGGTTCTTATGTCTTTCTGTCAGCCCGTAGTAAGCTGTGCTACTTCAGTTTCATACTTGCTTAATATTTGAATGCAAGTTGAAAGATTCTCAGATCTTTCTCCACAGTTGTGGTGAAAAATGTCAGGAAAATTTCTAAGCAACTAGGCATCATTATAGAAGAATTTTAGAAGCCTGAAAATACATATTTAATTGGAGTTACGTCCATTGCCTCTAATGAGAGAAGGGAGCTTCCATGGCTGCTTGGCCATGCCAGCCTCATACAAACATCAGGGTATCTTGTGCCATTGGGCATGGATGTGGGGGAAAAGTAGCTACAGCTCCTTTAGACTCCTTTTTCTTTATTCCTAACCATTCTCCTAAGTAAATCTTCTTTTCATTCACTAATTTTTTTATGTGCCTGTGGATAGTTCTATCAGTTAATGTAATAATACAGTGTGTTTTTTACTCGAAGAAAGGAATCTGCGACAAAACCACAGTGCTCAAGTGTCAGCAGATACACTCCACTGATTATGGGTTGGGTTTTCTTCCAGCTGTTTAGGCCAATTGTGTTTTTAAGTGGTCCAAGTTACCATTTTGGTTACTTGCTGTGCATGTTAGCGATATCTAAATAAACAGTGGTACTACAGTGAGTAAATTATTCCTGTGTATGTGGTGAAAATTCTGATGAGGATTTAATAAATTATTAGCTCTTTGTCTTAAAGTAGTATATGTAAAAAAATAACAGACCCTTTTATGAAGGGCTTATGTTCTAAATATAAAAAAATAGAGAAGCTATGTGTATAATCCCAGGCTTCATCTGGGATGGTAGAAAATGATGCTGAAACAAGTCTATGAAACTTTTAGGGAAATCGGCAGGATGGACTTGGTGTCCACGAGGACTGGAGTAAGTAGACAAATAATACTGATGCATGTAGAGGTGTAATTTTCTGAATTAAGGTATGTTTTGCTGTCCCTTGAAGGCAGGATCCAGCCTAGAATTTCCTTCTGGATTAGTCCCAGAAGATGTTGACCTGGAAGAAGGCACAGGTTCCTATCCCTCCGAACCCATGCTGTGCAGTGAAGCTGCTGATGGTGAAATACCACATTCTTTAGAGATGCTCTACCTTTCTGCTGAGTGTACCAGTGCCACTGATGCCTTGATAGTTCTAGTACATCTTCTCATGATGGAGACAGGCTATGTACCTCAGGTAAGTGCTCAACCAATCAGAAAATTTCTTGCTTAGTTTGAGAAAGCCACAGAATGTCATGGGAATATGTGATAGAAGATGTCTGAAGATCTGCTTCTGGCTTTGTCAGTCAGCAGCAGGGGCTGCTGATATATTAGCTGCTGTAATTTCCCTGACCAGTAAGCCTTTAGTCTAAAGACTACAGCAGCTTTTAGGTGTGAGATAAGAGGTCTGCCTCTGTATTTCAGTCCTCAACCTTACTAGGACCCAGCTAATAACATTCTGTTTCTGCTTTATAGTGTTGAACTTGTGTAGATGTGCTTAAGTAATAGCTGCTCCTTGAAGCGCTGTCTTAAGCGGCAGTGTCATCTCAGTGGTATCCTATTCAAATGGTGGCTAACAAGGCCTAGCTAGGTCTGCCAAAATATTGTCTCCAATTCTGTATTACCTTCAACTGAGCTCAGGCTTTAGTTCCTAACCTACGGAGGTATCCTACTCAAGTACCTATTGTAGGACCTCTGTATAATGTATGCATTCACCTCTTCCCATTTGATTTTTAGATTTGCATTGTGTGTTTACAAATATGTGGCTGAACATGTGAAAAAGGACTTGCTGTTAGGGAAAGTGTTTAAATTCTCATGTTTTTTTTTCTTGTGGTGAGGTTGACTAGGCACATGCAAGGCATCAGTTTACGTGTCTGGTTGCCCACTACCAATTTAATAAATTTCTGCTAAGTTAGTTGCACTCCCAGAGCCTGAAATACAATCTGAAGAATACATTTGCCACTGGGAAGAAAGTGCATATCAATGAGTAGGCTTGGAAATAGGGTACATGATTGCTGTGCGGATTTAAGAGGGTCTACTTGTACTTATGGTTATGTTGTATCTCTCTGGGATTCCCTCTGAGCCTTTTCATACTGAAACTGAAAGGGAGAATTGTTAGTCCATTCAGATCTTTCAAATTAATTTCAAGTGGTGATTCTTGAAGCCCCATCAGATGTCGTAAGTTCACAGAAAAGGTGCAGTAACATGTTTCTTATGCAGCAAATTAATGTACTTATAGGAGCTGTCAGAATGCTGGAATGGATGACAGAATGAAGTACAGGTCTCAAAGAAAGAGGTGTGAGTGCTCACTGAATAATCTTTCCTGTCACAAACTGGGATAGAACAGAAAATAACTAAACTTCACCTTAGATTTGCTGTTAGTCTTGTAAAAATAGTATATAATCCTAATCCGTGTCATAATGTGCTTTGGGACTATGCTAGAAGTTGAATTGCAAGCATCATGCTGGCATTTCCTAACTTCTTATTCTCTTTTTCTAGCCCTCGGACTTGGAGCATGGCTAAAGTATGGCAGTGTGTGATATCTGTGTGTTTTTAGGGAACAGAAGCCAAGGCAGTGTCCATGCCGGAGAAGTGGAGAGGGAATGGTGTTTATAAGCTACAGTACACACATCCCCTTTGTGAAGAAGGTTCTGCTGGTTTGACTTGTGTGCCTTTGGGGGAACTTGTTGCTATTAATGGTAAGTTGGTCAAGTTTTTATCCTGGATGCACATTCTTTAGTAAGAGAAAACTTAAATGTACTTTTGTGCACTCTGTTTAGAACTGCACCTTGATTATCCATGTTGCGGAAGTGCAAGCGATGCCTCTTCTTGATGCTGTATATTCTTGGTGTTTCCTTTCTCCATGCTAACTGTTTCTCTCCCTCTAATTATAACAGATCAATCCTTAGGGCATTCAGCTGGCCTTTTTATTGCAGAGTTTTAGAGGGTTCTTTGTGGGACCTATAAGCCTATGTATTCTTTAGCTTTAAGGTATAATCATTCCTGTAGCACAGTAACAGTTTCTGTGGTCTCAAAAATGTTACTTAGTTTAAGCTATTCACTCCAGAAAATTTAGGGAACTCAATTTTTTTAAAGCAACATCTGTAACACTGAGGGTTCTTTGGGAGGTTTTTTATTATTGGTTTCTTTTTTTCTTATTTTATTTAGCATTTGAGTAGTTCCATGTTTTTGCAGAACCAATATTGAATTAGGACTTGGGTTTACTTTCAAGACACCTTAAATTAAATTTTTTATGTTTATTTGTAAGACTTGTAACTGATTATGCCAATTTATATGAGCACATATATTTTCTCAGAATGTGCAGATGTTTTAACCAAGTCAGGTTAAGGTTACATTTAGGACAGTATTCAAACTACCATGCATATAGTGCTCTTATGGTAAGCTTTTTGACTCTTTCTCTGGTTAATGCATCTTTAATGAAATCTTTATAATGGCTCCCTGTGTAGCTCTTTAACTGTGTTATGTCTCTTCCACAAGATAGAATTGTTGAAAACAATGCTTGGTTTCTGTTGCCAGGATCTTTGTTTATTCTCTCCTGATTTAAGTTCCATTTTATTTTTCTGAAGTTCTTATTTGACTAACTGCTTGGTATAGTATGGTATTTTCCTCAAGGGAATCTGGTAAGGGAGGAAGGTAAGACTTTGAAGGGTAAGACAGTAATGGAATTATCTTTGTCATCTCTTAACCTCTTCCAAATTTTGAAATGTCTTCTTTTTTTTCTATTAACAGCAACATTAAAAATCAACAAAGAGATCAAAGGTGTTAAGAGAATACAGCTATTGCCAGCGTCCTTCATTTGCTTTCAGGAGCCAGGTATGATTGACCTAGGATATTCATAGTAGTAAACAGAAAAGTAAAGGAGGATTTTCTTCAGTAGAGCATGAAATAAGTAAAGAATAACAAAAAAAATAAAAAGGTGGTTACCATTTGGGTGAGTAATGATTTTGTGGCAAAAGAAATTCAATGTAGCAATTTACTCACATTGTGCATTTGAAACAGTTTGAATTTATTGGATTAACTGTCCAAAGAAAGAGTCTTGCAAAGCCTGAGTCATACTTTGGCCCATAGGCCTGTTGTTGATGATGTCCTAAGCATATGTGTGGATCTCTGGGGCAGTAGAGCATTATTATGCCACCATTCTGTCTGGCAGTTTAGAACTTCAAAGGCTGACACCACCTGCTCTCTGGTTATGGCACCGTAACTGTTACATTGTTTTTGTCCGAAAAGATGTGCTGACCACATAGTCTCTCCAGAACGTGAAAATTTAAGGAACACTAAGGCGGGGGAGAAGAGCAGATAAATGTGGATCCTTGTGAGCACAGACCTGACTAGCCTTTTGTTCTCTGAAATACGTATGAACTGCTTTGTTGGCAGTTGAGGCTGACTCAGTGTTCTATACTGTATCCTGGGTAGCCCCAGTCACTGATATACAAGACTAGTCAAAAGGCTTTAGTAGAATAACTAGAGCACTGAAATGTGTCCTTATAATGGTGGAGTTTTCTGGCACCTGTTTCTTTAGAGGGCAGCATGGAAAAATACTCTTTTCAGAAACATCAATATTGCAAGCATTTACAACTTAGGTGTTTTCTTCATAAGCAAACCATAGTTCTGCTCTTGCACGATTTTTGCATTATAACCTCCAGAAGTTAAGCCTTTAAACTCTCTTCTTTGTTAGAAAAGGTTGCAGGAGTTTACAAAGACCTTCAGAAATTATCCCGTCTCTTTAAAGACCAACTGGTTTATTCTCTTCTGGCTGCTGCCCGGCAAGGTAAGAGAAAATATTTATAATTAGAGATGTTACTTCATTTTTTCAGGATGGAAGGATGGGGGTCCTTGAATGAGAAGTGTTAGGAACAGCTGTTCAGTGATGGGTATTAAAGATTAAGTATTAGGTAATTTATACATTCTAAAGAAATTGTATTAATATTTGTTTCTCAGAAGATGTTGATATAATAATTCCTGATTTTAATTTTTGGTGATTGTAGTCTCACTTAAGAGACTGAAGTGGAGTGGCTGTTTTCCACACTACTTCCACACTTCACTTCCATGCAGTTTTGAAAATCATACCACAGCAATTTTGTGACAGTAGTTCTGTAGTTTTGATCTATTTCTTGCATCAAAGCAGAAAAAATTGTATAGCATTCTATTTGGAAGTCTAACCCCAGGAACGGTCTCAGTAACTGGTCTCTGAGAGCTTGGAAGGGATGGTAGGAGGTAACCCAAGCTAGTGTTTGTGGAGCAGTAGGAAGCCAGGCTTTCTCTGCACAGGTATTTCCATGAAAGTCTCAGCTTTCTATTCAGAAGACTATTCAATGGAATTCCCTCTAGACTTCAGTGTGGTAAGGTTTTATGTGAAGCATGTGTTTTGTGGGCTCATGCAGTTGGGCCAGTCTTTTTTTCTTTACCTATTCCTTTGTTTGGTACCCTAAAAACTTAGGTGTGTGGAATGTTTCTTAGACATACAGTGGCTAACAGTGGTCAGTATGAAGTGCAATTTCCCTTATTTTGTGCACTTTGTAATGTACTTAGAGTTGCAAGAGATCTGTTTTATAAGCAGACACGTCACTGTACTTTCCAAGAGAAGTGGTGTGACTCAGGCATCAAAGACAAATGGTTTAAGGGAAAGATTGTAATTTCCTTTCTTGCTTTTAGGATCTTTAGGGGTAGAGTAAACTTTGCACCGCTGAGGTAATGCTTCTGTTTCTTCTTTGCTTTGTAGCTCTCAACTTGCCTGACGTATTTGGGTTAGTGGTCCTTCCTCTTGAGCTCAAGCTTCGGATTTTCAGACTTCTGGATGTCCGTTCAGTCATCTCTCTCTCTGCTGTTTGCCGTGATCTTTACACAGCTTCGAATGACCAGCTTCTCTGGAGGTTTATGTACCTGCGAGATTTTCGAGGTGATGTGAGACACCTCTTTTTTTAATTACATTCTCATGTAAGCTTAGGGATTAGGTCTGACACCTTTTGATAAAAGCCTTCTCAGGCAACCACTGCTGATTTTTAAACACTGAGTAAACAAAGTAATTTATGATGCTAACCAGTACAGTTGGTTAGGTGTAGTTAGGTGGATGTGCAGTTTTTTTGTCACAAAAACTAACTACAACCTGGTGAACCATTACTAATACACCACATAGTTGTTACCATTGTGTGGTGCAGACTTGCCTTGTTGTCATCTATTTTTCTAGCTACCTTGGTGTACTGGCTGTTGCAAATACTAGGAAGTGGAGGGAAGAGATATTTGTGCTATACTTTCTCACAAGAGATTAAAGACAAAAAGTCATGAAGGGAGGTGCTCTCAGAAGTCAAAGATGGGGACAGTGTTTCTGGGATTTCTCTACTTGCTGAGTAGGTTTTGGGAGAATGCTTTACGTAGAATGGGTGTGCAAGTAAATTATCTGTTGAATAGTCCTGGAGCTTCTTAAGATGCATTATCTTGAAGAAAACTTTTTTAACCAAAAGTTTTCTTCAATCTCTTGATTCTTCTGCAAGTTCTGACAAAACTGTGGGCATCTGTGGCATGAACGCTACTTAAAAATCAATGTAATTTTTCAAATAACTGTTTTGGTTATATTTGGTATATTTTGGTAAAAATTCATTAATTTTTTTGCTTCTCTTTATAGATCCTGTTGCAAGGCCTCGTGACACAGACTGGAAAGAAGTAGGTGGCATTTCAATGTAATCTCTCTGAGATGAGTCTTCTTGGGCTAAGGAGGTGAAACATAGACTTTGGGAGACAGTAACTTTGAGTTAAATTTGAGTTTAAAAGTGTCGTGTTCTCTGTACACAAGCTGAATTTGGGTCAGAGTAGAACAAAACAGCATTAATGAATTACATGATGCATGCCCAGATTGTGGGTTAGGGGTCTTCTGGAGATGCTGTATTTGGTCTTTGGCAGGCAGAGAAGTTGCCTTTTCTTGGTTTGACAGTGGTGAGGAGTGCTTTTCTGAGAAGTGTTGCAGAACTGAGTGCAGTTGCTAAAGCTGAAACACTAAGCACTTACAGAGCTTGAAAATGCCTTTGTTTCTGTCTGCAGCTATACAAGAAAAAGTTGAAACAGAAGAAGGAGGCCCTGAGATGGAGACACACGATGTTTCTGCCCCCTACACCTCATCCAATTCCCTTTCATCCCAACCCATTCTATCCTAATCCTTTTCCTCCCAATCCATTTCCATCAAATCCAATCTATCCCCCAATGATCATTGGTGGAGAATATGATGAGAGACCAACACTTCCATATGTTGGAGACCCAATTAACTCACTAATTCCTGGCTCAGGAGAAGCACCAGGCCAGTTTCCTCCATTCAGACCACATTTTGATCCAATTGGTTCCTTGCCTGGAGCAAATCCTACACTTCCAGGACGAGCTGGTCCTACTGACAGGTTTCCACCTAGACCCAGCCGCGGCCGCCCCATGGACATTCGCCGAGCGTTCATTTGATTGCTGCTTCTTCCTCGGTGAATTTTCTAGTCCCTGAGCTTGCTTTCTAAATGCAGGAGATTGCAAATCCCAGGCACTAACATCTGCCTTCTCTTCAGATTGTGGCAAGAACAGGTGTGCATGTGTCAACCAAAAAGGCTGGGTTTGTTTTATGCTCTGGTAATATTGTACCACCTGGCACTAAGGTCTTTTTCATGAAGAGCTACAATTTAGAGCAGTTTGTTCTGCTTCCTCCCTCCCTTAATCATCTCTGAAGCTCTACTTAAGAGACCAGAAGGATATCAGCCAAATATTTGCTGCATCAGATAAAGAGCACTTTAAATACAAACCCTATACTTGGCTGTCTTATTTGAAGAGTTTTTTTAAATTGCCAGGAAAAAATGGTGCAGTTTCAAAGCTACCTGGCTAATAGTCTTTATTAACAAAAGTTCTACCATGTTCCACATAGAACAGGATCCTACCACTGTTATGGTAGATGTGAGTTTGTAGAAATTTTCAAAAATGTTTCCTTTTTCCTTTAATGTTTTATTAGGTAAAAAGCATTTTTGTATTGTTACTTAATACACAAAGAATACAGGAAAGGGATTTTCTTTACAATGGGTATGTTAGAACACAAATCAATTTGTTTTACAAATAACTGAGTAAAATCATGCTACAGAGCAACTCAGAAATCTGAACAGAAGCAGAACAATTTTACAAAGAACCAGCAGCAAAACTTTTGTCTTTCTTCTTGACTTTACAAATAAGGAGCAGTAGTACATGGCTGCATTTACTGTGTGTGAACTAAAATGGGTGCAAAAATAAATCTTTCTCGGGCCTGACTTGCTTAAGGAATTAAATAGGTTGACCTGGTTGTGGTGGAAATGGGATCACAGCAGAAGGCAGAATAAATTCTCACTTTACTGCAGTAAATTCTATTTAATACCATTACTTAAGTATCAGAATATCTCTTGCTAAGAGGAAGTGTTGAATGAGCACCTTTCAAGTGTTGTCTTATTAACTAATGAGAACTAACAAGACCATTGTTAAAAGTAGCCTGATAAGATCTGCAGGCTGATGCTGGAGCTCATGTAAAGGAAGACTGGAATGACTAACCTTTGTTAGAACTTTTAATTTACTACATATTTTTTTAAAAATTGATCTCAGTGTTTCTGTAAATGTAAGTGCTACTGATGACTGTTGTGACAGCTGATCTTTTTTTCTAAAATATTTTTTAAGTTCCGACAGTGGAAATGACATTTCCTATTAAGTACAAGCTATTTAATCAGCAATACTTACGTGCTTTTTCAGGTGGTATTTCAGTGACTCATCTTCTTGTTTTGTATAAAATAAATTGACCTCAGTAGAATCAGGAAGCTTTGCCGTTAACTCCACTTTACAGAAGTAAAATATAACACTTTATTTTGCTGTCAAAAGTTGTATTTCTTCTTTCCACCCTTTTTATGCTTCACAGCAACCAGGCTACCAGTCCAAATCCTGCCATGATTAAACACCCAAGAGTATGTATTGATCAATCTGGGGGACAGTGGTTTCCCTTCAGTACCAAGGTTAGCCTTAATTTTGAATGCTTGCTTGCACTGGTTGAATTACCTTGTTCCAGCAGTTTTCACTTGAGTGTGTAGTCAGGCTTCTAAAGAGCTCAGTGATTCTTTTTATTCCACTGACTATAAAAGGAAAGGGAAAGCTGCACTGCGTTGGTCTTGCACCATTTTGTCCATCTGGTGAGTGCTCCAGAAATGCATATGTAATATTCAGATAAGGTTCTACAGCTTTAACCGATAAAATAATTTGTGACTTACTCATTTCAGTTGTTTCAAGCTCTTTTCTGGGAACAGTGTTCTCTCTGTGTGAGTTACCTTAATTTTGTGGCACTGATGGTACTTGCAGTACCAGTGCCTTGATGGCAGTCACCTTGCTTGCTCTGCTGCCATGCCCCATGCCGCTCTGGAGTTGTGACCTCTCTGCCATGAAGACAACCTTATCAAACTTTTGCCAGGCTGATGCCACAGGTGGTTGTTGCTGCATTTGTCCTTCGAACAATCCTTTGAAGATTTGTTTTTGAATAAATGTATTCAACGTTTTTATAGATATACCACTAAGTAACCTAAAGATACTCTCCCTTTCTTCATTTTTCCTTCAAATTGTAATAAAGTTATTGTGAGCCAAAGATAAAGGAATCTGATTTCTCCTAAACTGTCAAGTTTCCTAAAGGAGGAGTTACCTGTATTTATAAAATAGGAGGTATCTTGGGACCAACAGTATAAAATGAGAACAGACCAGAGGAAATATTTGTAAACTAGCTGCTTATTTTGTTTATTTACCAGCTTCTAATCATGTATGAGTGTGATTAGTGAAAAAGAAGAAAATGCTGCTGCAGTTATTGGAGCAGGATGGCTGTTCTTCTCAACATTACCTCTAGACAAGAGTTCTAGTTGCATAGCAACATAAGTGACATTCTTCTTGAAATAGCACATGTAGATAATACAAGAAAGTAAAGATGTTTCTTAGTCCGTATCTTAACAGCAAAATGTAAATTAGTTTTCCAGGTGGGTGTCTTATCTGTGTCTCAGCTCTTTCTTGGGCTGGATCCAAACACCAATCTCTTCATGTTTCCTGGCTTCCATGTGAAGAAAATTAAAGCATGCAGGACAAAAAGAAGTTCTGAACAGGTGCTCAGTTTTCATAGCTGTGTGAGAAAGATCCCATGCTGTGGGGCATGTCTGTCCTGTGGTTTCATTGTAACTTCTATTCACCAACTTTTCTTTTGTCTTCTTACTGCCTTCTAACTCCAGCTGTTCTAGTTAGGTACCTGTGTATCTCTTGGGTGTAGCTTAGTTCCCCATTCATAAAGTTGAGAGTATACACCTTGTATTCTCTGTCTTGCTTTGTTAAGATTGTAGGGATTTTGGAATAGAGGCCCTGCATCAAAGGGGTGGTTGTACTTGTGAATCTGCTAGCCACAATGTCTAGTATGTGAGCATCATAGTTGTAGACTGAAGTGTATTGTCAGAACATTTGTAGATAGGGAGTTCATAATTTTAACTTGGGTTATCTCAACTTCAGAAATGAACTCGGTGTTTCCATTAAAGCAGTTCTGTGGATAGAACTGAAGATGCTCTTCAGGAACTAAAGGAATAACCAAGTGAAGCCAGGGAGTGCCTGTTTGTATTTGTTTTTGCAAGCTGGAGCAGGGAGGAAGGGGGACACTGTTCTGTTTGCTTGTCCTGTGAAAGATGACAGCTGGGAGCAGCAGTCAAATGAAGAGATCTGAGTCACTGCTGGGTATCAAGTCAACAGTGCTCTCCTGTTAACTGCTCCTTTGGAGGACAGCCCTGCTGTGTTCAAGTGCAGCATCAGCAAGTGATCCAACTGTTCAGTGGTGAACAGGGGTCGATATGCCATACTAGTCACCAGTTACTTATTTATTTTTGATAGGTTGTGTTGGTAAGAGAGATCAAGTAAAAATTAAGGGTATAGAGCAATTGAAGATTCTGGCAGGCAACTTCTATTTCTGTCTTTGCATCTCTGGTGACCATTTAGTAGGGAACGGCATAAGCCATGCTAAGGGAAGTGTTACAGAAGGAAATCCTCTCCCACCAGGGTTGTATTACCTCCTCTCCGTACAGTGGAGCCTGTTAATCTGCTGTTATTCTTGCCAGTGGGACAGGGCTTGCTCAAGACCATTTGTCACTTTTATTGCTTCTGAAGAGTGCAAAACAGCAGAGTGATTTTTTTTTCTTCAGACAATGATGCATATTTATGATGTTACATTGTAAACTGTTTAGCATACCTGGAAAGACAACATAGAACTAGAAAAAAAAAAATCACCAGGGAACAGGGTGGTTCTGTAATACTGAATATGAAGTATAAATCATTGATCCAGATGAGTCTCTTGAGAGCCTGCCAATCTGGAAAAGCTTTGCTGTTACTTGCCTGGAAGTGCACAGGTCATAAAAGCCATTATATGTGTAAAGGCCTGCTCAGGGGTAGGTCATACAAGGTCCAGATGACTGCATTGGATTTAGATGTTCATTACAGGTGCTATGCAGGAAGGAATTGCTTGTTTGGCTTTATTCCCACCAGTGAATCATAAGTTCCCAGATGACAAATGCTGCTGTTGCTTTCACTGCTTTGGGGATCTCCCTGCTTAAGTGACAGCAAAGATGTGGGCCATTGGCTGGAAAGTTTTTAACTTGCTGACCTCCTTCCTTCCCTTGGCATTCCTAAGTGTCATCACTGTGAAGTTGCAAAGGGAAACAAAGCCAAAAGTCTGGTCTTGAAGCTGTGTGCACAGTTCGTGACCAAGGTACTTGACAAAACTAGAAAAATTGAGGAGGTGGGATGGGGACTGGTGTCTGCTCTAGGTGTGTTAAAAGCAGAACTAAAGTGGTCCAAGGGGTAGGTTGACGGAGTAGAAATAGCAGTATATAGGTGCATTGATTTACCCAGGGTGGTTTTCTTGAATCATCAGTTTGCTTGTGTCATGCCTGGTTTTTGTCATGTCCCAGTTCTGGTGTATGTGCTCAAACACAGCTTCATTCCGTGTTGCAGGCTTAGAGGAAAAACACATCTGGCAAAAATACATTTCAGTCTTTTTTGGAAGAGTAATTCTTCGGGGTGGTCACAGATCGTTACCTGCTTGGGTCAATCCCATACATGCCCTCCCGTGGCTTGATGTCTCTGGATGGACCCCAGCTCATCTTATTTGTAAAGGATCGTTTTCCTATTCTGTTGCAGGTTTGTCACCTTGCATTTGTTTTGCACTCAGCCCAGCGAAGTCAATGGGAGTTCAAGGAGGGAGACAGGATTTCAATCCATTGCTGTCCATTCGGTATTATGGAACACTCAGCACACAAGTATGTGCACTTCATCAGCTCTGCTATTAATTAAGCATGTTCCTGGGGGACATACTTAACCAGATGTGACCAAGTCACCAGGGTGCTTGGAGATTAGCTGGGTTTTGTCAGGAATTTGTGTGAACTGTGAACCTGAACTCTTAGTGTTTCCAGGGGCAGGGGAAGAAGTTGTTTTTTTCTGTGGAAGGCCCATTTCTCAGGTTATTTTTGAGCTAAGGGTACAGGGTTAGAACATGACGTTTTTCTCTCAGAACTCAGGAATCATGTGCAGGGGACATAAATGCAAGGCATGAAACAGAGACATTTTATCTGCTACGAGCAGAGTGATCTGGAACAAACCAGCAGTCCATTTGGATGACCTGCTCATGTGATCTTTGGCGCTTACTGATGTCTGGTACCATATTTGACTTGAATGTAGTTTTGCTCTGAAAAGTGACTTTATTTATAAAGTTGCTATCATGAAGTTCCACAGTTCACTGTGTTTCCATGCTTAAGCATGCTCACTGTATTGGTCAATGAATAGTTATTCTTGACTCTGTCTTTGGACATCTGTTTCTGAAATAAGCCCATATTTTAATTTTTTTTAGCTTGACCTCAGCAAAGATTCAGTAGTTGGAAGTTAGAGATTGTATTGGCTATAGACAAAACAAAATCTAGTGTGCACTGTCATAACTGTGTTGAATCCACAGGAGTTAGCAAGAGTAAAATTTGCTTTACAGCTCAGTCATTTGAACAGATCGGATTCTGATTGTGCACAAAAAACCACAATGAAATAGTGCCACTTTTATACAGTCACTTTTCAGACCATTATTTAAATATTTCTTTGTATTAAAACAATTCCCTTTACCCAGGCGTTAGTGGTAAATGGCTGGGTACCACTGAGGGTATTCCAGGATGACATCAGGTGCGCTGTGATGAAGAGTGAGGGCTGGCAAAAGCACAGATCCAGCTGCAGGGCTGTTAATCGGAAAACAGGCTAGCGAATGATTTCCTCAGGTTGCGGATGGTCTCAGCTTTTGCTTCATCTTCATTGGGATTTCCCCGCTGAGACGAGTCAGATATGCTGAAGGTGTTTGTCAGGGACTGCGATTTGCTGAAATGGAAAACACAGAGTTCAGACTTAGCAGGAGAAGGTGGTAGTTAAAAGGTGGTTGCTGGTGCTCTGTGTTCCATCACACAGACATATTTGAGGATAAAAGGAGACGTTAGCAAGGAGAATCTCCATATGCTAAGTCAGCCAGGAATGGGGGAGGCAGGTGGGATGGAAGAGGATGGATATATGGGGAGGTGGCTCCAATAGCACTGTCCAGACTAGTAAGTGTTCATGAAAACACCTGACTAGAAGTACGCAGTTGCCGCTTGGTGCAGCTGTTATGAGGAACAGTTAAGTGATTTTACTGCTAATACAGAAGAATGGATTAATATTGAGGGTCACCTGTCTCTTATCAGCCATATTGTGAGTGACCGTCCTGTCCTTTCAGATGTGAGAGCATGACAGGTTCCACAAGTCACCTGTCATGTGTGCTGTTGTTTACCCTCCCTTTGTCAGCTGTGTCATGCTGGTCTTCTGGTTGGCCACAGAGCTCCTACTGGGTGTGTATCTGTTAGTGTTTAAATTCAGATTAGGACTGCTTTTGAAGTACATCTTCTCATTTTCCCTGCTACCATGCTTTGCCACTGAGTGGTTTCTCCTGGTCAGGAGTAGGCATTCAGCACAAGACCAGACTTGTACCTCATATATGTGTGTGTGGTGACTGGATCCTTAGGACCAACATTTTGACCTTGGGTACACAGCTCTTGGTTTGCCTTACTAATCATCACTGAAAGCCTGTTCCAGAGCATCACTCCTCTGCTGCCTAGAATCTGTCTTATCATTCCTACCCTATATTTTAGTCTGGCCTGTTCATACCAGTTTGCTCTTGCATCAACTTCTTGTCAACACCAAACATTTTTTTGCCAATCTTTTCTGCCATAGTGCCAGACAAATGTGCTCCATAAAGGGTGGCAGCAAAGGCTGCTGCCAGAGATCCACAGTAATGCCGTGGTATGTTCTGCTCTAGAAGAGCCCTTAACACATAACACCATCTGGAGTTTTAAATACTGAGTAATGCCACTTCCATTTCCCCTGCCCCCTCCCCCCCTTCCCTTTTTGCTACCAGTTTCAAAGAATTGTTCAGTAGAGAACCTTGCAAGGCTCCTACATTCAGGAGTGATTCTTGTTGAGCTTTCTGGCCAACAATGTGCTGATGAGAGCCTATAAAGAGGCTGGGAAGGTAGTCGCTGTGCTGAGATGGCTGGGGTAGAACACATGATTAACAATGAAGAGGACGAATGTGAAATCTTAGAAATGTTAGGGTTGTCAAGAACAACTTCTTCCTGACAATAGGTCAATGGCCTGTTATGCCATAAGCTCTGAAGTCATTCACAGTTGTCCAGGCCTCTGTCACTGGGGACTACTGCCTGACAACAGGTGAAAAGTTCTTCATGCCAGCTCAGGGTACTTTTTTGACAGCTTATTATGTACAGATACTAGCAGTTTAAGAGAGCACCTACTTGAGATGTGGGTGTGGGGTGGCTTGCTGCTTGGATGTTTCAGTGGGGCTTGGCTGGCTAGGAGCTCGGCCTTGAGCAGGAGGTCTCGGCTGCTGTGGAGGGAACACGCCTCCCTTGGAAGCCTGCACTGGAGAGGACCCAGTTGCCGATCGGACTTGCTGTGGAGATCCAGGTGACCTTTGCTGCTGAGGTGAAGTGGACTGCGGACTCTGGGGCTGCTGTCCTTGGGGTGAGAGCCGTTGTTGCGGGGGTGCGTTTGTCCGAGGTGGCTGAGGTCCCTGAGGCTGGCGTGGTCCACCTGGACAGGACAGGTAGACATAAATGTGAGGAAGTGTGCGTGGTGGACAACAGGCAAGGAACATCTGTCTGTGGAGGTATGTGTATTGCTTAGGGGACACACTCTTCAGAGTAGCTTCATGCAGAAGGATAAGAGACAACATCTTTTATAGGCTTAACACTGGTATCATGCCCATGTCTGTAGAGTTGTCCATTTCTCTGTCTCCTTCAGCACTAAAGAAACTCTGCCACTCTCCCCAGAGGGAGTCACTTCAATGTACTGTACTCTTCCTTGTAACTAATTTTTCTCATCCTTGGCAAGCACTTCCTGCATTGGGAAGGAAGAATCACTTGGGAAATAACTCTGTGCAGGAAATAAAAGCTGAATCTACTGGTTTGGGTCAGTAGTCCCTTCATGGGCCTAGCAGTTTGATGTGAGACTGTGCACCCTGTCACTATCTATATGTCTGTATATCCATATCAGCAGTGGCTTCAGCTGTGTTGGTAGCAGACTCTCTAAACAGAAGCAGATGTGGAAGACAACTGGATGTGGCATGAGAAATTGCTAGACATGACAGATAACAGTCTGAGCAACTGAGACAAGTTACAGATATTGCAGAGAGTGTTGTGAGGGCTGACTGGATTCCACAGGTGGTCAAGGGGGAGTTACATAAGAAAAAACTTCACAGAAAATTGAGGGGGAGTACTGGAGACAGGGAGGGAAGTAGTATTCTGCAAGGCCAGCGGTTCCTAGGTCATTGTATCAGTAATAGTGTATAATGCCAAGATTACATAAATGCATTTGGTATCAGAAATACCTAATTTGGATACAGTGAAACTGTGACTGATGAGAAAAAGGTAATTGGAAGTGGGTGTTAATTTGGTAGGAGGTTGGGGTGCAGAAAGGGAAGGACAAATGTGGCAAGAAGGAGGATCTAATTAGTTATGTGGATTGAGTGGTTGGTGTGGTCTGAGTGCCCACGGAGCAGCCCTTTTTTCATCACCTCAGTGTAAATCAGGACAATAAACCAAATCTGTTGTTCTGACCAACTACCTAAGTCAAACCTGCTTTGGCTGTCAGGAGGAGCTGGGAGTGTGTTCTTGCTGATGGAGAATCGCCTGGACAGATGGATCAAGGATCCTGGCATCACTGTGTTACTATCTGTTCCAAGCATCCATCAGCATCTTCCCATCACTTCTTAACACTTGTATCCACTACAGCTTTGTTCCAACAGAAACTCATTCTTTGCCTAGAATCCTGCTTCAGTGCCAGTTCATGTGGCCTTGGTTGCTGAGCCAAGTCCTACCATGGGTGTCATGTCAACTGGATCTGTAGCAAAGTTTCACCTCACTTTCTGAGCTGCTGTGGAATATGACAGCAACTGCTTTAAGAGCACACCGAATTTGCTGCCTGCTTGTCAGTGAATTCACAATGAGTGAAACCTTTATCCCAATAGCTTTTATTTAGAAGGAAAACTGATATGTCTCGCAGTCCATGCTGTCAGGGGCCCCGAAGAACTGTACCTTGGGGAGGAGGCCGTGGCTGGGACAGTTGTCCAAGCTGAGGTCCAGTCTGAGATTTAATTGACGCAGGCTGAGCTTGTGGAGGCTAGAGGAAATAAAGCCATTCTAGTCAATACAAAGACCCCAAAGAGAAACCCTGAGGTAATACAGGAACTGCAGAGTCATGAAGTGTTCCTTAAATACACATATGCAGCATCTGGCTGGTAACATCTCATGGGACTAAAATGGAGAGCTGAGTAATAAAAGAGCACAGAATTTGTTTTCTCACAGGGAATAACAATGAAGTTACAGTTTAGAATGGTTTTTAGACAATCAGGAACTACCAAATATATCAGGCCCAGGGGGGTCTCTTAGTCACATCTCCCATTTTGGACAGTTGCCAGCACCAGATGTTCCAAAGGAAGAAGGGATGAACCATGGAAACATCTATGGAGTAATCATCTCTTTACCCTAAGGGGTCTTCTCTTGATTGCTAATAAGCAACCCTGAAACATGAAGCTTATTTTCTGCTCTACAGAATCCTTGCAACAGTTCCAAATATTCTGTTTTGATATTTACAGCCAGACCCTTTGAGCCTTGCTCGGCTCCCAGCCTCACTGCCTTTCCCATTTCTTAACTCCACTGCTTTGTTCGGAGTTTTTAGAATAGTTCTCACAACCTGACCTTGCTAGGCCGTTTGTTGTTTTGCAAACTTTTACTGCCTTCTCTCTCCTTCACCTCCTTTATAAAGCCAAGAGACTGAATCACTTCAGTCCCCCCATGGGAATGTTTCCAGGCCCCTAATTGTTTTCATCACCCACTTCTCTTTCCCAGGTTTTTAATTCCTTTTGCAGATGCTGGAGGCAGGTCTGCTTATGTTATTCCAGATGAAGCAGTATCTGGGTTCTCTGTGCATCACCAGCTCATTTCTGCTGCATCCTAATTTCCTGCTTCTCCCTTGTCAACACAACCATAGGCTGAGCAGTGTTTTTTATTGGCCTCTTTTCAACAACATCTTTCTCAAGGGGCATGGGTAGTGCCACTGACAAGGTGTACAGATTATGTCCTCCCCCTCTCTAGCCCCAGCTTAGTTTACCTTTCAATCTCCTGTATGGAGTTTCATTTGCTGTTGCAGTGACTGAACGTACACAGCTCTGTCAGATGTTCTTCACTGCCACCCCTAACGCAAATAAGTTGTTGCCATCTGCACTTTCTTCTCACTGTTTACTTTTTGACAGATATTTAAATGAACAGATATTTTAATAAACAGATTAAGCAACACAGCACTGCTGCACAGAGGGCTGCTCCAAGGTTAACAAAAGTCTGAATAAGCCTGTTGCACAAAATTGTTTATGAAAGCAGGGGAGGCTGGAGACAGATAGGCTGGTACGTGCTGGATTATTTTTGTGAAGAACACAATGATAAAAGGGTCTTCAAGGCTCCTGGAAGGTCAGAAGAATGAGCTAAGTGATTCTGGAAATGGGAAGAAGTGTTTCATAGTTGGAAACTTTGCAATGAGTTTCGACTGACTAACATAAACGTGACGAGGTTGCCAGCCCGTCTTTTACACTATGTATCTGGGACTTGCAAATGGATGGGGAGGAAAATCTGGGAATTTTCCATTCATACCTTCTAGTCCTAAATAGCTTGGGACACTAAGCCTTGCCTCAGTATTGGTGGAAATTTACTGTCCTAATGCTGTGAGACATCCATATTAGACCAGCCAAAGAAAGGGAATCAGATCTCATATTTGCCTCCACAGCCTTTGCCTACAGCCAACCAAGGCTTCTCAGAGATGAAGGCAAAACAGAATTTTGAGGCTCATAGATGAAGGATTGAGAGTCCACACAATGTCTTCTGTGTTTGGAAGGGAAGCAGTGAGGGGAAAGGATAGAGGTGGGGCAGAGGGACGAGGGGAAAACAGCAGCTGCAATCATGAAACCAGGTTTAACATAGGCATGAAAACAAGTTTGTCATTAACATCTTGTCTTGTCCTGGGCTTGACCAACCCAATTATCAATCTGACCAGGCCTTGTATCCTTTAAGTATCCCCTCTTCTAACTGTTTGCATTAATAAAAAAAAATTCTTGTATCTGTGTCTTTATCTGAAGCTAACTTTGCTCTACCATGAGATTTTACAATGGAGCCCCTCCCTGCTTGCTTTCTTTAATACCTCTTGTCTGTTACCTTGTCTAAGGCTTTTTGACAGTCTAGCTACATTATTTTGACTGAGTGCCTGTTATCTGCCACCTTGTAAAAAAATTCTCAAAGAAAGGAGGGGAGAAAAATCAACAGGAAATTAATGGGACATTTTTCTTTGCAAAAAACATAATGTGGTAGATGCTCTTAAGTAGATGCTCTTAAGCTGTGGCTTTGCTGGTTTATTGGTCTGCTGTATTATTCTTTAAATTATTGTCTGAGATAATGAATAAGGTCCACTGCTTACTTGTCTACATTTTTCTACATAACTCTTACAACTTTTTGAACATGGATTTTGTATTTGTTATATAACAGCCCTCTGGAGTAATAACTGTTTCTCATGAAATTGCATGTTTTTTCTTGGCGGCTTAGTCACTTCCTAAATTCAGTTCATTGGATGTAGCCATCTGGGCCTGGGGGCTTCATAATTTTTGAAAACATCAGTCATCACCAATTTAATCACTGTTTGTGTACTCTCCCTTGTCTTTCTGATCAGGAAAAACTATCTAGTTTAAGAATTTCCCCACTTTAAGCAATTAAATTTTCTAGAGTCACAACACTGTCCCTGTTGTCTTCTTTTCACTCTTAACTTTGGATGATCCATAGAGTTTACCAGTTCTTTGGTAAGGTTCCCTCTTCAGATGAGCTCAAATAATTTGTTTCATTCCTCCCTCTACCTGCACTTCAAAATAAATGTCTATCCTTTTTACATTTGCTTTTATTACTTGCATGGTGGTGCATAAAGTTCTTCTTAGATGTCAGATTTCCAAATTTGGAAGATTTTTTTTTTCTCCCTTTTTGTCTTGAGTGTCCTCTATCACTTTGCCACTTAACTCTGGAAATTTATTTCCTGCCTTCCTGGTTCAGGAGCAGATCAGAAATGTATATAGGCATTCTGGAAAACAATGGTCTCTCAAATAGCATCTACACAGTTTTACTTTCAATGCTAGGGAGTTGATTAATTCTACTATTTTATTAAAATAATATTTTCTAACTGTCATACCATTAGTTTTTGGTATCACATCTGTACATTAGTCATCAAACCTTAAGGGTACATACTTTCTGAATTTGTCTCTGGGTGTTTCTTAAGGCTAGGTCAAGGTGTGCATTTGGATTTTGGAGTACCAGGAAGCAGACACTTAAAGAGATGGAGAAGTCACTCTGAATTGGTGTCTTACTGTGCGATTTTACTTGCTTCTTCATAGCTGTTGTCTCACATTATTATGACTTGTTGCTTCTTCTATCTCTATCAATGCTGTGCACTGGGTTTCATTTGTCAGTTTTTCTTGATCCAGAGACTAGTATAGACAGCTCTAATAATATGTACAGGTATTCTATGCATACCCATAGGATATCCAAGGGTTCACATTTCTATGTATTCAGTACTGCTGTCCTTGTGTTCAGAACTGTTATTTTACTTCATTCTGTGGGAGGTTCACCTGAAGCTTTAGTTCTGCATGTTACCAGCCTCACATGTTATTGCTTCTCTCTGCACATTTGTAACGTTTGATGTGTTATAGCATTATGTTATTACTTGTATCTTGTGCAGTTTCTGCAATGTCTGTTGTACAAAGGTCTTTCTCTATAGCAAAACACTCTGGTTAACATGCATATGGTTTTGATTTTCTTGATTTTGTATACATATTTGTAGGTTATATTCTTGATGAAGACCCTTTTCTTATTTAACTCTTCTATTTGACATCGTATCCCTCCAAGACCATTTGTTTTGTTCTTATTTTCACCCTATTTTAGGACTGTTGTAATCCAATCTAATACTGTACCCATGTATTACAGACATAGCAAACAGATGCATCTGTTCATGTTCTCAGTTTTTGTTTGCTTCCCCTTAGTTCATACTTAGTTCTTAGCTCTTAGTTCATACACTCTGTATCTTGGCTATTTCACATGGCAGTTGTTGATTTCACTTTGGCCAGAGTAAATCCTATCCTGCCTCGAAGCATTTTTAGTGTCTATTAAATGTTTACCCCCTCGCTCTAGCTAAAATTTACTTTGGAGTTATTCTGGTTACCCTCCATTCTGGAGACCTGGTTAAGCAGGAAT